CGTGGCCTTTTTGGATCTCTGGCGCGGAAGCGGACCGGTTCATGTCACATGTTGCATTGTTTTGTCCACCTCTTTTCATGTTCCTATACTCTCTCGCGACCGGGTCGTTCCTGAAAGCGCGCACTCTGCGTCTCTTCCGAATCCGATGTTCACACAAGCTGGGAGGGGGAGAAGACCTGTCCCCCCTCCCCCCCAAGACGGAACGCAAGATGTATATCTTCGGTCTCCTTGGCGTCCGAGACCGCCCCAGAAGCCCCGACGCCCCAAATCAACCTACAAGAGTTTGCAGACAGTCCAGGAGAGCCCCAAGACGGCCCAACGGGGCCCCAAGATGGCCCGACGCGAGCCACATGACGGCCCTATAGATGGCCCCAAGCTGCCCCCCCAAGCAAGCCGAGTCTTGATCTGGTTGTTGAGAGTGATGGGCCTGCTTTCCATCACCACCACCACCAGAAGTTGGAGGGGAGGACCTCCTCCTCCACCCCCTCTTCCTCCCCTCCTCCTCCCATCCTCCTCCTCCTCCTCCTCCTCCTCCCTTCGTCCCTCCTCCTCCTCGCCTCCTCCTCCCTCTTCCTCTTCCACCTCCTCCTCCTCCTCCCCCTCCTCCTCGTCCCGGCCCCTCTTCCACCTCCTCCTCCTCCTCCGCCTCCTCCTTCTCCTCCTCCTCTTCGTTCCCTCCTCCTCGTCCTCCACCTCCTCCCCCTCCTACCCTGTCCTCTCTTCCACCTCCTCCTCCTCCTCGTCCTCGCCCCTCTTCCACCTCCTCCTCCTCCGCCTCCTCCTCCACCTCCTCCTCCTCCTCCTCCTCCCTCCCTCCTCCTCCTCCTCTTCGTCCTCCTGTCCTCTTCCACCTCCTCCTCCTCCTCCTCCTCCTCCTCCTCCTCGTCCTCGCCCCTCTTCCACCTCCTCCTCTTCCTCCTCTTCGTCCCTCCTCCTCGTCCTCCACCTCCTTCCCCTCTCCAACTTCTGGTGGTGGTGGTGGAAGACAGGCCCATCATGAGAGGCAGACTCTGGCTCGCAGCCAGGTGGCCCCGGCGCACGGGGAGGCCTCCGGAGCGGCGCGGGGGGAGGCCTCCAGAGGCCCCGAGGAAGCTCAGGAAGAGGTTTCGCGGTGCCCCCAACAGGGCCTTCGAAGGAGGAAGAGGAGGAGGAGGAGGAGGAGGGGGAGGAGGAGGGGGAGAAGGAGGGGGAGGAGGAGGAGGAGGAGGAGGAGGAGGAGGAGCCTCCGCAGCAAGAAAATTGAGGAGGACGTTGGAGGGTTCGCAGTGACAGGCGAGAGCGAGGGCAAGGAATCGTTTTTGGGACTGGGAAGGAAGCAGCTCTTATCGACGACGCCTGCGGCGAATCGCCGCCGCCCCCTGCCTTTTGGGCTCCTCTGTGGCCAAACGTTGGACCCCAGCTTGGCCAAGCCATCGGACCATGTGCCCCCCCCAGCCGTCTGGAAACTCTTGGGGGAACACTTGGAGGAGGAGGAGGAGGAGGGGGGAGGATCAGGAGAGGGAGGAGGAGGAGGAGGAGGAGGAGGAGGAGGAGGAGGAAGAGGAGTAGGAGGAGGACCTCTTGGGCCGTCTTGGGCTGGCGGAGGGCCGAACAGAAGCGAATGACAAAAGCCTTCGCCGATGGGGAATCAATGATTGTTGCCGCTTCGGGCCCTCCTGGAGAACCTCTTGGAGGCCTCTTGGGCCGTCTTGGACGCCTCTTGGGGGCCTCTTGGGCCGTTTTGGGCCACCTTGGAGGCTTCTGGGGCGGACTCAGAGCCATCTTGGACCCTCTTGGGCCATCTTGGAGGCCATCTTGGGCCATACGGACCCCAGCGCTGGCCGAGTGTGCCCATGAGTATGTGGGCCGCGAAGAATGCCTTGTGGACCAAAAAAGAATGCCCTGGTCGCTTCAAAGGAGGAGGTGTTCCCCGAATTGGCGCGGGAACCGTTCGGGGACCAGCTGACCGAGAACGAAGAGTATGAATTATGTGAGGCGTTTTCGGCGCCTCGTTGTCTGTCGTAGGGCCCTCTCGGAGCTGTCTTGAAATCGTCTGGGATCGTCATAGGGGCACTGGCGCAAACTTTTCAGGGACCAGATACCTGAAGACGAAGAGTATGAACCACCACAGAACATGATTTGGAACGAGAAAGATGACTCAGGGGGTTTGTTTGGGAGTTATTTTGGAAGTCTCGCAGATTGGCTTTGAGACTGCTTCGAGTCATGGTGGGAGTCCTCGAAGTGTCGGAGCCATGGTGGAACTCTCTTGGCCTATGTGGAGTCTGGCTTGGGCGGCCGCGCATGCTACTGCAGTCATCTTTGTGCACGCAGTGTGTCTGCTCGCCTGATGTTGAGTCATTCCGCGTAATTGTTTTTCCCGAAACCGCCTACGCATGGTGCGGAGGAACCTCATGGGATATGTGACATGTTCCTTTTGACGAGAATCCGTGCTGACGTACATTCAGTCCTACATACGCGCGAGAGCGTGTGCGAGAGCGGTGAAGAAACATTGAGCCTCTTTGGGGACGCCTTTGTGGCTACACGCGGGCGAGCCAGTTAGGAAGAGTTGTTGGCCTTGTTGGTACTCGGGCATTGCCTGCACGATCCAGTTTGGTACTCTCACGTGCGCTCATCATCCTCGTCCGTCGGCGCACGTGAGCAGTATCACGTTGTCATTGGTAGCTGTTTCGCGACTCGAGGAGTATCGTGGTGCATGATTATTTGCAGTTTTTTTCCAAATTGGTCTCATAAACATTTGGGGAACCAGTGCGTGCGCGAACACGACGAAGAACGGTCGGATCCTCTTGGGGGACGTTTCGGTGGGCAACCCGTGGGAAAGTGAGTTCGGATAAATGTGTGGCCGTCGATGTCTTTGGCACAGCCTGTTCGACCGATGTTGGTCTTCCCACGCTCGGACATGCTGCTTGGTCGTTGCACGCTTCGGCCGTCTTGGGCTGTCGGAATGCCGCAAGTACACTGATGCCATAATCCTTACACAACTGAAAGGGTAGCACTGATTCATTTGCTTACGCTACACCGCCGACCCCTTGGGGCGACAGCAATCGTCCCCCGCGCGGCCTGTCCGGACAGACTATGAGGCCCCTCTAGACACGTTTTGGAGCCCTTCTTTGGGCCGTCCTGCCGTTCCCCCTGCCGTTGCTTTCTGGGGCCTTCGTGGGGCGCCCGGAGGCCGTCGTGGGGCCTTTTGGAGATTCTCTTGGGGTGCCAGAGGTCGATCTTGCAGGTTTACCGAGCCGTTGTGGGCCTCGTGGGAACCCAAGAAGCGAATATGCTGAAAATGTACGTTTTCCCAGGGGAATGGGACGGCTTTTGCTTCTGTAGGCCTGCTTGGAGCGCCTCGTGGTCGCGTGCGCAAGCGTCTCGGACGCCCATGGGGCTGTCTAGAGGCAATCTTGGGCGGTTAAAACCGAGTCGTCCCCCGCGTGGGCCGTCTGGGCAGCCTTTGGGAACCCTCTTGGCCCGTTTTGAGGTCCTCTTGGGACCCTCCTGCGGCTTTCCTGGGCCGTTCCTATGGTTTTTGGAGCCTTCGTGGATCGCCCGGAAGCTGTCTTGGAGCATTCTTGGGAGCCCCTTCGGGTGACAGGGGTCGATCTTGGAGGTTTTTTCTCTTGCACAGCTGTGCTCTAAAGCTCGGACATATTTATTTTCGTCGTTCGTCGTGTCGTTCGTCCCCCTCGCCCCCCCCCTGTCCACGCTTCCCAGGGTAGCCCCCCTGGGCCGCGGAACCCTTTATTCTCTTGCACAGCTGTGCTCTAGAGCTCGGATATCTTTATTTTCGTCGTTCGTCGTGTCGTTCGTCCCCCTCGCCCCCCCCCTGTCCACGCTTCCCAGGGTAGCCCCCCTGGGCCACGGAACCCTTTATTTTCGTCGTTCGTCGTGTCGTTCGTCCCCCTCGCCCCCCCCCCTGTCCACGCTTCCCAGGGTAGCCCCCCTGGGCCACGGAACCCTTTATTTTCGTCGTTCGTCGTGTCGTTCGTCCCCCTCGCCCCCCCCCCGTCCCCCTCGCCCCCCCCCTGTCCACGCTTCCCAGGGTACCCCTCGCCCCCCCCCCCTGTCCACGCTTCCCAGGGTAGCCCCCCTGGGCCACGGAACCCTTTATTTTCGTCGTTCGTCGTGTCGTTCGTCCCCTCGCCCCCCCCCTGTCCACGCTTCCCAGGGTAGCCCTATGAGCCTCGGACACCTTTCTCCTTTGTGCAAGAGCCAGGGCAGCGTGCCACTTGTTTTCGTCGTTCGTCGTGTCGTTCGTCCCCCTCGCCCCCCCCCGTCCCCTCGCCCCCCCCCTGTCCACGCTTCCCAGGGTACCCCTCGCCCCCCCCCCCTGTCCACGCTTCCCAGGGTAGCCCCCCTGGGCCACGGAACCCTTTATTTTCGTCGTTCGTCGTGTCGTTCGTCCCCCTCGCCCCCCTCCCGCCCCCCTCGCCCCCCCCCCCTGTCCACGCTTCCCAGGGTACCCCTCGCCCCCCCCCCCCCCCTGTCCACGCTCCCAGGGTAGCCCGCCTGGGCCACGGAACCCTTTATTTTCGTCGTTCGTCGTGTCGTTCGTCCCCCTCGCCCCCCCCCCTGTCCCCTTCCCTAGCCCCCCTCCTTTATTTTCGTCGTTCGTCGTGTCTGTTCGTCCCCCTTCCCAGTCCCCCCGTAGCCCCCCTGGGCCACGGAACCCTTTATTTTCGTCGTTCGTCGTGTCGTTCGTCCCTCCCCCCCTCGCCCGCGCTTCCCAGGGTACCCCCGCTTCCCGCGCCCCCCCCCTGTCCACGCTTCCCAGGGTACCCCTCGCCCACCCCCCCCCCCCCCCTGTCCACGCTTCCCAGGGTAGCCCCCCTGGGCCACGGAACCCTTTATTTTCGTCGTTCGTCGTGTCGTTCGTCCCCCCACCCCCCCCTGTCCACGCTTCCCAGGGTAGCCCCCCTGGGCCACTTTTATTTTCGTGTCGTGTCGTGTCGTGTCGTTCGTCCCCCTGCCCCCCCCCCTCTGCCCCCCCCCGCCCAGGCTTCCCAGGGCAGCCCCCCTGAGCCTCGGACACCTTTGTGCAAGAGCCAGGGCACGCGTGCCACTTGTTGGGTTGTGGGCCTCGTGAGAGCCCGAGAAGCGAATGTGCTGAAAAGCTACGTTTCACCCAGGGAATGGGACGGCTTTTGCTTCTGGAGGCCTTCTTGGGGCGCCTCGTGGTCGCGTCTTCAAACGTCTGGACACCCATGGGGCCGTCTAGCGGCGATCTTGGGCGGTTTGGACCGAATCGTCCCCCGCGCGGGCCGTCCGGACAGCTTTTGGGGGGCCTCTTGCCTCGTTTTGGAGCCCTCTTGGGACCGCCCTGCGGCTTTCATAAGCCGTTGTCATGGTTTCTAGGGCCTTCGTGGATCGCCCGGACGCCGTCTTGGAGCCTTTTTGGGAGCCTCTTGGGCTGGCGAGGGTCGATATTGGAGGCTTCTTGGGCCGTTTTGCGCCGCGTGGAAGCCAAATGGGCGAATGTCGCAGAATTCTCCTTTTCAGGAAATGGGGCGATTTTTGCTTCTGGAGGGCCTCTTTGGGGCGCCTCGCAATTCTGTTTCAAACGTCTTGGGGACTTCTGGAGCCGTGTGGAGGCGATCTTCCGTCGATTCTTAGCTCTCTTGGACCTTTCCGGGAACCTTTTGTACCTGGCCCGTTTTAGGGCCTCCTGAGGCTCCAAAGGTGCGGATGATGGATTTGTCCCCGCCCCTCCAAACCGGCCGAACCAGGCCCCTGGGGGAGGGGTTTGGGGAGGGGGAAGCATCTCACACGCCGTGACCCCAAGGGGTCGGCGGATTGTTGCTTGTTCGGGCCCTCCTGGAGGACCTCTTGGACGCCTCTAGGCCCGTCTTGGACGCCTCTTGGGGGCCTCTTGGGCCGTCTTGGGCCACCTTGGAGGCTTCGTGGGCAGACTCGGAGCCATCTTGGAACCTCCTGGGACGTCTTCGAGGCCGTCGTGGGCCATCTTGGCCCCAAGATCGCAATATGTTGAGGGTGTCCTCAGCAAGACGGCCGTTGGGGGGAGGCACGGCAGCCACCTTCTCCGGGAGGCCGAGGGCACGGACCAGAGGCCCAGGGGAGAGTTCGTATAGAACCGAAGCAAAACCAGTAGGGCTTATCAAGGGCAACGATAGGGGGGGATAGGCATACGGGGGGATACATCGACCCCCAATCGCACATTCACCGCCGATAGGGTCCCGATGGCCCCAGTCTGCCCAGAAAAGTGCGGATTCACGATCGTCGGCCTATCGGCGATGTATCGCCGATTCCAAGTCGATGTATCCCCCCCTATGCCAGTCCCCCCCTATCGTTGCCCCTCAGCTTAGCACGCCAGGCACCCCTGTGATGAATCAACAGGGGGCCCCGGATCGAATGCTCTTCGGCCCATGCCGCCACCGTGCCTGGGTTGTGGGTCGGAGTTCTGAGGGATGCTTCTTGGGGACACTTCGGAGCGCTCTGAGGGACCTCTGGGGGTCAGTTTTCGGGCCTCTTGGGAGCGGGAGCCTCTTAGGGCCTCTAGGGGGTCTCTTTGGGGTCTCCTGGGCCCTAGTGCAAGCCTCTTGGGATCATTTTGGGGCCTCCTGGGGGCCCCTCCTGGGCCGAGGGCTCGAAATGTCCGTTCGGGTTCCCCATCTGGGCCTCTCTCGGAGCCGTCTTTCTGGACTCTTGGGGGGCCTCCTGGGCAGTCTTGGAACGTAGGGAAGCCGAAACTATATGGAATAAGTACAATGGGCTCTTGGGGCCCTCTTATGAGGCCTCTTGGAGCCTCTTGGGGCGTCTTATAGGCTGCGTGGGCCGTCTTGCGGCCATCTTGGGCGTCTTTGGGTGATCTTTGGGCGTCTCGGGGCCCTCCTGAGCCGCAATGAGAGCCTCTCAAGGCCCTCTTGGCCCGTCTTGGGGCCCTTATGGGCCCGAAGCAGTCACGCGAGAGGCCGCGGCAAGCATGCGGGAAGCCGCGGCAAGCGCAATGGGATTCGTGGATTCGGGGTCTGGGCCCCTTCAGAACCCTGAGGATCGAGGATTGAGGCTCGGGGGATTGGGCAAAGGACGTGGGGGCACGCCGCTCCGTGCCCAGGGGCACGGTGGTGGATAACGATAACGAAAACCAGAGCACGGGGTTATCATCGTATTACTGGCCTACCTTTTCCCAGTCCGCCTGCAGGCAGAAATTGACGGCCCACGGTGCATGGCGCGACGGCCCAAGGTGAATGGCGCGAAGCGCCAGATCAATTTTGTATACACACATATGCTGCACATGTGCTGCAACACGTCTGCCCCCTGCGGCACTCGCGTTGTGCGCCCGAACAGAAAACAAAACGCCATCCAGGCGGGCCGTTGGTGACATGGAGATTTCCTCCGGCGGGCACCCTTCTCTCTGCAGGCGCCGCGCGAAAGGGAACGCCTGGCTTTTGATTTATTGGAGGAGAGTGTCCGCCCCGTCCTCGTGGATACCCTTTACTTTCGGTGGGCAGCAACCTCTGGAAGGTGGCGCGTACTGTCGCCTAGTAAAAACTAGGGTAGTTTTGAAGATACGTTTGATCTCTCTACAAGGCACCAGGTCGAGGCGGCAAAGCTCTGCTCTGAGATTTGTGGCGACTTCCTGGCGGAGGACCGGAAGTCGCAGGAGGATTCGCTAGAGCGAGTACCCTTGAGGCCCGTGAGCGACCTGCTCTCCCAGCTCCAGGGCCAGCTGCGTAGCAACGAGGCCTTTTCCGAGGCCATCCAGGGCCCGAAACTGTGCAAGATGTTGGAGGACATTCTCATCAAGCACCCGAATGGGACTTTCCGGCCTGAGAGCGAGGAGTTGGCCTTGCATTTCAAGACTTACGTGCAGGAAATGTGGGAAGCATTGCACAAAGATTCGAATTCGGCAGCAGTGCTCATGGATGGGTTCAAGCAGGAAGAACAGAAGTTCATGAACGATGCACGAAATGGGTCCGAAACCCTGGATACGGATGAGTGCTTCGCCGATCGGTTCAAACGGGAGGGAAAGCGGACCGTTGTGATGTTGAGGTTGATGGAGATGTACGCGGCGAAACTCGACGCCGTGCTCGGGCGCGACTCGATGGATGCTCTCCTCGGCCCAGCCCGAGAGCAGTTCAGTAGGGAGCACAGGGAATCGCAGAAGCAGCGGCAAGAGCTCCAGGAGAAGCACCATGGCTTGGCGGACCTCGCCCTTCATCGGATGCACATGCTCAATGAGCTTCTCGCCAGGGAGGAGCATCTTCTTGCCGCCGCGACCGTCGAGGCCGAGAAAAGCGCCATGGCGACCAAGAGCACCTTGGCTGAGCTCATGAGCACCATCGAGCAAGCATTCCGCAACCTAGAGACTGTGATCGCGGCAGACATGGCCGCTCGGTCCAAGCGCACCCATGCAAAACATCGTGTGGACGCTCTGCGAGAGCAGATTGCCACCCGCGGCGTTCCTAATCCAGCGACGCTGTCGTGCATATCCGCCCCCCGCTCCCGGGAAATGGCCCTCGCACTCAGGGCAAGGGGGCTGCATTCCGGCCCTTGCGGGACTCTCTCGGCCTTCGTGGTGCCTCCTCGGACCTGATTTTCGTCCCCATGGGGGTCCGAGAGCCCTTTCGGAGAGTATCGGGGCCATCTTGGGGCGATTTCGGGCCATCTTGGGGCGGCCCGTCAAACCCTGGGGGCTCCATGGGGCCTTCCCAGAACCGCCAGCCATCCTGGGCCCTCTCGAGGCAGTCTCGGAGGTTCCATCTTGGGGCCACCCCGGGGCCACAGGCGAGGCCAGGGCGCCCGGGAGCGCGGCCCGACGCGGCCCGAACGGAGCTCGCGACAGGGGGCTCCTGCTCGCTGGGCACGACCTCCACCGCGCCGCTCGGCACTCTCACGCGCACGGCGCGACGCAGGGCGCCATGGCGGATCTCGCCTCGAGCAGGAACATGCACCAGCGCTTCGCGGCGAGGTACGCGGAGGCGTTCGACCTGAAGGAGAGCGTGGCCGTGTGGCTCAACGCCGCGTACGAGGGGATGGAGGCCAAGACGCGGCTGACGGTGGACGAGCTGCGGTCCAACCTTCCGGTCGATCTGGAAATCTCCGATCTTTGCCGCCCGCTCTCCAGAGGCAATCCCACGGTCCGGAAGAGGGATGAGCTTGGATAGCCGTTCGGCACGGCGCGGGGCGGGTCATTCGTTGCGTCGATGCGCAACGATCCGATCGACGACGGCCCCAGTCCAGAACCAGTCCTCGCTGGCGACGGATATCGTCATGTCGATTAGTAGTGCGCATCCCAGAGCGAATAAACCGTGTGCTGCACCCCGCAGTTGCGGATGAGAGTGAGGGGGCGAAGGGGACGTTGGCAGTTTGCGAGGCTCTGAAGGAGCCCGCCGCAGGCGTTTAGGTTTTACAGATCATAGAACGAGCCCGCCGCAGGCGCCGATATCTCGTTAGAGTAATGTGGGTGGGTCGCGGGTGGGTCGTGGGCCAGCTTTTTTAGTAGCGCTGCATCCTAGGGCGAATCCACATTACACGTATTGCGAGCAACAGGCATGTCAAAACCACCGTTGCACTACACTCTTCTCGTTGTTCAACAATGTTCGCTTCGCATTTGGTCTGCATATGATTCACCTTTCTTTAGATTTGGCTTGTATGTGATTCGCCATTGATTACCATCGTCCCCGTAGCATTTCTGGAGGATCGTCTTTCATATCGACATGGATGTACGGTTGTTGCCGCCGTCGATGCCAAGGAATGCTACTACTGAGCCACATGGTTATCCAGTTTGTGCCCCGCGTTGCGGCAAGTTTCTATACTTGCCGCGATAAGCACTTCGGATGAACTTGAACAAAAGGGCACGCAACGGCGAGTAGTTGTGCAGATCCCAGCAGACATGCATATGAGTGTGGGGTTGTCTTGGGATCGAAGCTGTCATGATATGGCGAAAGCCAGTCGAAGGCGCCGACTTTGTTTTATCACCCTTGCATCGACGTCAACGTTATGCCCGAGGTGGCTCTTAGCCTGGCTGTTAGGTCTGCAGCCAGGCCCCCGCGAAGGCTCGGACCCTGTGCCCCCGATATTCCTCACCCCGGGGATAATACAGCTCGGGGTTCCAGGGGGATAAGAAACATTTCGCCCCGGCAACTCGGATGTACGGGTGTACGGTGTACGCCTGCACGTTGTTAAATGGTATGATAGAAGAGTGCAACGTTGATGGTGATCTTGATCCGAATGCTACTCCCATGATACCAAGATGCCAGATACGATTGGTGTTTCACCCCGTCGCTTGCACCGCATGCCTTATACCACATACACTGCGCTACAAAGCTTTCACCGCTACGTTATTCTCCTTTTCGAAAGAAGAGTAAACCATACCACCCTCTCTCTCCGTCTGAGCGCCCCCCTCCCCCCGGTCCATTGCAATTTGCGCATTGTGCTGGCTCATCCTTCAGTCTACATGTGAAACCATGCAGTCCCAGGTGACCGGGCTTGGACGCTCCCCTCATCCTTGACGCGCGCGCACCTGTCGAAACCACACCAGGCACCTCAGTGCTGCCAGCGCTCGGACACATACGCACCCAAGCGCCCAGGGGGCTGCATGACAAGAAGCTGGCGGGCCTCCCTGCCCGCGCGCATTCGCTGAAATCCCAGGAGGATCAGATGGTTCTAGCCATCTCGTCCATAACCACACAGCCTCAACACACCGCACGGCGCACGCGCGTGGTTCCAGCGTGCGCCCAGCGCGTGGCCCCTGCACCGCCCGCGCGTCGAAGTCCGTCCAAGACCAGTAGCTGTCGACGTGTGTCAGAGCAGAGCTCTGCGACGACACTGTGGGGGAAAAAACAACACAACAACACAACAACACACAAACAAGCAAACAACAGCAAACACAAACAATCACAGTGGGGGAAGAAGACACAAACAAACACAACAAAACACAGTGTGTTTTTTTTCCCCACGGACTGTGTGTTTTTTTGTGTGTTGTTTCCCCCCCAACAGAGGAAACAATAGCTGTTCAAGGAAGAGCCTGCCACGTGTATTTAACTCCTGCCCGCGCACACTTCCTCACCATCGTCAGCACAAGCTTTGTCATCGTTGCCAGCGCCACCACTGCAATCGTTTACTTTCATCGTCACCACCAACGTCGTTATCACCACCGCCGCCGTCATCATCGTCGTTATCGTCGATGTCGTTGTCCTCGTCAAACTCAGGTTCGCGGGCACTGTTTCATCATCAGCACTAGCACTATTGTCATCATTGTCGCCAGCGTCATCGTGGCCGCTGTCATTCCCATTACAGTCAGCTTCGTCACCATCGCCGTCGTCGTCGTGGACATTGAATCGCTCCCATCTCCATTGTCATCATCATCGGCTTCAGCGTCACCACCACTGTCCTCGCCATCGTCGCTGGTGCCGCGGCCGCCACCATTGCTATCACCACGTCGCGACCTCGAGGAAGGACTCCTCTGCGCGATGGAGTTCCGCTCGCCCGTGCGCTCGTTGAGATCACGGCCAGTCTGATGTTTGCCGACATGTTGCGGGTGGGAGTGCGAGATGTTTGAACGAGCAGTTGAATTGGCGAATTAAAGTCGGGCGCACATGAATGGCACCACATCGGTTGCACCACGCATCTTGCACCACGCACATATACATACTCTGCGCGCATCGAGCGTGACATGATCCGCTGCTCTCGGCACGCGCCGGCAACCGTGGTTCTGCATTTGATCCACCCTCAGTCCGGAGATTACACGCACTCTGCAGCACTTGTTTTCCCAACCGCGTCAGACGGTCGCAAACATTGTCCCACTTTGTCGGGCACGTGTTCTGGTCACGGGGGCAGCCTCGGGATACTATCGAGACATTGTCGCTCAGCCGTCGCGACAGCATCGTATCACAAACATCTCATCTGGACGCCATCTGGACTCCATCAACGGATTACTGGCACTGGACCTCATCTGGATGCAAACAGTAAGCCACCGAGAAATCACTGGGACATGTTCAGCAAAACATCGGGATACCGTCGGGGCGGCATCGGAACAACATCGAGACACCATCGAGGCACCAGTGGGAATTTGGGACACCATCAGCATACCTCCTGGTCACCATCAGCACACCAATCCACGAGCATTAAAAGCCAGTGAGACATCGCCGATAACCATGGGGACATCATTGGCAGTCATGCTGGCAACATCGGAGGATCAGCCAGTACAGATTAGGAGCGGATTGGAAAAGGGCTGGCAATTCATCAGGACACGGCCAGGACATGATCTGCCAGATGCCATCGAACAACTATGAGGACACAGTCGGGACGCCATCGGGACACCAGGGGAGTCTGGAGTACACCCGGGTATATGTGACGCTCGCCCGACAGGCTGCCACCAGTCGGGACACCCGCACACCGAGAGGCCCAGGCATCACGCGCGGGACAGGCCCTCAGCTTGGCCACCGGGGCCCTCCCATCACGCGCCCAGCGCCGCACGCGCGATGTGTCATGCGCCACCTACGACGTGGACATGGAGAGCGCCGTTGCGTGAGCGCATGGGTCGACATGCCTTGCGTGAAGTAGTTTGTCGGCGCCCCGCTTGATTCGGTCTTGCACCATGAAGTTGCAAGTGAAGAGGTAAGTGGGTAAGTGGGAGAATCAGTGACCACAGCGTCAAGAGGACCTTGCTCGTCGGATGTCCAGTCTCTGGTTTCATTCGGCCAGTGTGAGCTCACTTGATATTGCTCTTTGCTGATTGTGTGGCCAGTAGCCAGACCGAACACAGAACAAAGGGGATGTTGCAGATTTAGTGGCAACTGTTTTCGGCAATGTTGGTTCATCGGGCACCTGGTGAAGGCATCGTGCACCAAGATCAAGGCACGCCGCCACGTTTCCTGCACATGGCGTGATGGTTTGAACATGCATTCGTGTCTCTGGGGTTTCTTGTGCGTGTGTCGGTGGGGCGGCGGATCGGCAGGGTGCCCCATGTTGTAGAGTGGTTTCGGGGGTCAAAGGGGGCGGCACTGCAGCACGTGAGAGGGATCCTTCTCTTCTTGTCGTACAGTTGCTAGCCAGCAGGTTTTACAGCATCCATGGTTCGGCGGGACTTCTCAGAAGCCCCCGCGCCTTCTGAGAAGTTGTTTCGGTCTTCGGGGAAGGCTTAGAAAACTTCTCACGAGGCCAGGGGACTTCCGAACCTTTTGCGAAGGCCTTCTCCTCATTTCCCCACTCGCTCGCCGCCGAAAGGTAAGTAAGGCCGAATGTTGTGACAACTCAGTTTCGTGACCCCGCTGGGGCTGGCGGGCCTTCAAAAGTTTCGACAGATCGCTGTAGCGACAGAGACGGACCTGCAGGATCAGACTGATCGGATTCAAGCGGCCTACTTGGAGACGATACGGCGTCTTCAGAAGGACGAGAGTGACCTGAGATATTTCGAATACTCTGGGGCAGACCCAGCGGAGTGGGAACGGAAGCGAGCGGATATCCAGCGCCACGAAGAAGCGAAAGAATGGCAGCAGGAGCAAGCCAGCGAGTTGCGGACAAAGCAGGACCAGGTTGCGAAGACCAGGAGTTGCTACATCAGCAAGATGAAGAGCCCCGAGTTGCTTGGGATTGCCTGGTCCGACGACTCGATTTGCACCGCTAGGACGCCATCCATCTCAGACGATTGGGTTCGACAGTTCTTCTTCTCCGCGCGGCGACCCTTGGTGCACTTGGCGGGTTCTCCACAGCTGGCTCATCCGGCCATATCTGGCGAATCTGAGCTGGAGTATGACAACAGTAGCAGTCTAGCGTCGTACGACGTCCTCAGCGAGGCACGCCGTTCGGCCACCAGTGCTCCGGCATCCCGACTGTTCGTGAACTGCTTGGTGGACACGGCGAAGCTCCTCGATCCCAAGGGCCAGCCTGTGCCCGTGGCATCGCTCCAGAAAGGCTCGGCTTTGGTGAACGGCGTCGTCCTTGGCTCCACGATCCCGATTAAGCCGTTGCAGTGCCACGATTTGGTCGTGGTCGAGACTTTGGAAGGAGCGACGTACTGCCTGACCAGTGACCACCGCGTGGCTGCGCGAAGGACGGGCGACACCGAATGGTCTCCGGTGGCCGCCTGCCAGGTGCTGGGGATGGAGGTGTTGACTTTTGCCGGGGATGGAGTTGCCTTGCAGCCTGCCCGGGTGAAGGCCACAACCATGCAAACCAAGATGTGCGAAGTAACGAGATTGATATTGGATCCTGAAGGTTCCCTCGCCTTCCTTGCCACCGAGGGTGACCAGGAGCAATAAGGAATATGGGGCCACCAGTTGTCAGAAGTGTGCGTGTGTGTGTGTGTGTGTGTATGTGTGCGTGCGTTTTCTCGAGGAAACGTCCCAGCCTGGAAGCCGTGCGCTTCGTTGCCGTGCGTCTGTGGAGAGGGTGGCGTGTGTTGTAGTTCTGACCTTCCCTCCTCCCTCCTCCCTACCTCTTCTCTTTACCTTACTCCTCCCTCCTCCCTCCCGAGCCCACCCTGTCCACGTCACGCGGACGGGCCCTGACTCGCCCGCGCTGCTTCTCAGCCGGATGGCCGGCGGACTCGCGCGCCCAGCGTTCCGCATTTCCCGTCCTTTCTTGTTGACGTCTCCTCCCGTCTCCCTTTTCGCTTGCGCATGCCGCTGGGACTTCCTCTGGTCAGCTGGCGGCGCTTCGAGCCCTTCCGACGGACTATTCACGCGCGAGGTGCCCCCCATGGACTGGAGCAGTTGCGTTGACTGTTTCGACTGAGACGCGTTCTGACTCTTGTTCCTGATGGGCCCGCTCCTCCTGCTCCTCCCCCTCCTCCTCCTCCTCCTCCTCCTCCTCCTCCTCCTCCTCCTCTTCCTCCTCCTCCTCCTCCTCATCCCGCCGCCGTGTACGCATCCTCGCTCCCTCCGTTCGCCCTGCTCTTCGACCGAGCAGCACTGGCTGCCAGGCGTATGCGGCTTCTTGTCCCGCCTCGTGGCTCCGTCCTCCCCCCTTATGTCAAACAGTGGCGAGGCGTCCTGGCTTGCCCATAGGCCCACTAAAGGATGCTCTACGAACCTTCTGTGGTCTGCACGAGATGTCTTGCTCTAAACACTTCGGGTCTATGTTCTCAGAACACTGTTTTTGTTCTTAGAACATGATTCGGTTCTAGGAACATCTCGTGACAGGCCTATAAGAATGCCAGGACGGTCGGTCCCTGCTCAACTGTGTGCTGCATCGTCCGCGGCCGCTCCCAGGTGCCGCGGCCCGAAGAGACCTTCCCCCCCAAGTGGTGTGCGATCCAGACAGGGCGCCGAGGGCTTCAGCGAAGCGGGCAACGGAACGATGTCTTCGCCGAAGCTCCTGGCGCCCTCCTCAGGGCACGTGACCGTTGCGTATCCATTGTGTTGCCGATCGGCGCGGGCCCTCGCACCCCCCTCACCCCCCCTCATGGAGTAGATCTTGGCTGTTTTTGGCGCCTGCTTCGAGCATGTGGAGTCTTCCCCAGAGGACGCACGGTTCGAAACAGTCGCACGAAGCAGAGGTCCCGAGCCAGACCCCCCCCCCTCCCCTGCCGCCCAATGCCGAAGCGCAGAAGAAGACAACGCTCACCACTGGGATGCGCGGTGCTGGGTTGAGGCTTCCTCCTCCTCCTCCTCCTCCTCCTCCTCCTCCTCCCTGGGTTGAGGCTGGATTTCTGCTCGTTAATCTTGTGGTTTGGTTCGGGCCACGGTGCAGGCGTTCGGGCAAGTGTCGTGCGTGGTGCTTTGCATCGGGTCCTGCAGCGGTGGCGGATTCGACTTGTCCGGTAGCGCCACCCGTGCCCCCAAACACAGCGTTTGCATTGAAGGGCTGGCCTGGGCAGGGTGTGGCGCAGATATCCCCCTCGAGGGGGCAGATCGTCCGCAGCGGCTGGCCGACAGCCGCTCGCAGCACCTTCTCCCTCTGTCAGTCCCGTTCCTTTTTCCCTCCCCCCTCACGTCTCCTCCTCCTCATTCCTCCCTTCGTCTGCGTCCGGGATGCATCACCCGCGTTGCGCAGCTTGCGTGGCCATTCTCGTAGTTTGTCGGGATGTTGGGCTTTCATTGCGCACCACCATTTAGGATACCACATTCTGAAGTTGTGGTAATTGTTTTAGTTTTCACCCTTGGCTTTGAAAGAGTAGCTCTGTTCGGGATGGTGCGCCCCGTCCTGATGGTCGGCGTTTTGCCAGGTACGGGGGACTCTGCACAGCGGGGTCGATGCACGTGTGTATGGTGTGCGATCGTGATTTGAGTATGGTATGCGGGTCTTTCGCCCCGTTGTTGCGCTCTCTCCCTCTTCCTCCAACAAGACGAGATTGCGCGCACGGGCTGTTCCGCTGGCCGTTTGCCCAATGATTGGTGAGGAGTCTTCGAGGCCGTAGGTTGCGCCCATGGGTTACGCCATGGATTATTGCGATCCTATGGTGCAAACAGGGTGGTGCAGGTAATGTTTGTCATGTTTTTGCGTTGTATTGTTATGCGCTGGTTTGCATTGCTGTGCGCTATGATGCGTTGCCGCGCGCGGTTTTGCGCTGCTTTGTGTTGCCTTTCATTGCGTCGCACTGCTTTGCGTTGTTTGCATGGTTCCGCATGTTTCAACATCACCCATAATTTGCATCAGCTTGCACTTCGGTGTCCATGCTGGCACGGTCCCAGGGATTTTGCGTCACCGCAAAGTTGATCGATTGATAGAAGACATCTATCATGTGCCCTCCCCCCTTCTACCTACATCCCTTCCTCTACAGTCGGGGCCCTGAAGAAGGAACCCTTTTGGTTGGGGAGGGGCTCCGCGTTCCTTAAGTGTTTCACAGCTTGCCTCAGGTTTTCCTTATGGTTTCGATCGGAAATCGAAGTTCAACTTATGGAAAAAAGGGGCCTCGTTCCTTATTTTGGGTTCCTTAGGTCAAGGCCCCGACTGTACTGCTTTTCCTCACATCCTCCTCCTCGTCCTTCGCCACTGCTCCACCTCAACCGCGCGATTCCACGATCCGAGCCACCCGAGCCACCCGACCAGACCACACCGATAGAATCTCGTGCACATGTGCAGCGACTGGGTCAAAATGCGCGCACGAGCAAGCACACGTGCGCAGTGCGTGCACACAGTGTGTACGCCTGTGGGTGCAGGGGGGTCCACACGTTTGAGGCGTCTGCCTTGTGCTCATACGTCATGCTTCCCAGGTGAGTTCGGATCGTGCCCCGCCCTGGCCATCTTCGGCGAGACGCCATCGGACAGGCTCATACGCATCGACCCCATCAGGGGCGTCATCGACTCGGTGCCCAGCGCAAGTCCTCCGGCCGTTCCAGAGATCTGCTCCGACCCGGGCCCTGCGCGCGCGCCGCCGATGCGCCGCCCTGTGTACACCAAGCCTGCGGGGCTCGCGGTGGTGGCTGGGGAGGACCTCTCGGAGGGGAGCCGCGGGCACTCCCAGGGTCAGTGCGCGGGGTTCTGCAAGTACGCGGCGACGCACTGCAAGTTCGGCGTGGGGTGCAAGAAGTGCCACGTCCCCAGCTGCACGAAGGTTGAGTCCCAGAGGGAGCGCAAGCAGCGCAAGCAGCGTGACAGCAGCGTTTAGGTACCCCGCTTACCCGCGGCCAGTGCTGACGGCGTGCCCGTGCGAGGTCGCCTGCCTGCCCTGCGCCCGCACAGTGAGCGCAGTGTTACCGCTGCTTGCCATGGCATTCGTGGGGTGCTCGCCTCGAGTGGTTCTTTTGCGAATGGCGCCGCCACTGCGCGGGATCGCAGAACCGGGGAGGCCCCTCGCGACTCAGGAGGGAGCGAGGTCCAGCCCAGGACTGCTGCCATGATTCGGCGCAAGCCTTGGCCGCCGGAGTGATCTGCTAACCCCGGCAGGAAGCAGCGAACATCTAATCATGGATCTACACATATGTCTGTCTCGCTGCCCTGTATGCTTACGCTTACACCTATGTCTTTGTGTCTATGTACCGTTCTATCCGCCCGCCAACCTACCCAAAGTACCCTGCTACGTGTTTTTTTTTTTTTTTTTTTTTTTTTTTTTTTTACAGAACAAAAAAAAACTACATATCAATATGTATGCCCGTCTGCACCCCTCCCTAGGTCCCAATGATCTAAGCATGTATTTGCCTGTCGATTTACCTGCATACGCATTGCCGCATCGATGTGCTCACCTACCTAGCGGCCTTTCGCATGATCCAGCTGCCTGAGGCATGTCCCGCGACCGCGCCAGCCCAGCTTTCGTGTGACACCTTGTGCCTCCAGGCTTGGGAGAGCCGAGCATGGGATGATGAGGCTTCTGAGGGTGATGGGGCGATGGCGATGATGGTGATGATGATGATGAGGATGAAGATGCGAATTATGATGATGATGCTGTTTCTGGTGATGTTGATGATGATGATGCTGATGACGATGATGACGACGAGATGACGATGACGATTACGATTGCGTTGATTATGCTGCTGGTGATGGTAGTGACGGTGATGAGCACGATGATGATGATGCTGATGGGGATTATGATGCTGGTAATGATATTCTATGGTGACGATTATGATGGTGATTAGGTTGCTCAGAGTTATGGTGAATGATGGTGATGCTGATTATGATAATGATAATGTTGGTGGTGATGGTGATGATGATGATGATGATGATGATGATGGTGCTGATGATGATGACGATGATGATGATGCTGCTGGTGCTGATGATGAATATGATGCTGGTGCTGCTGCTGGTTGTGACGACTGCTGCTTATGATGATGATGCTGATGATGGTGATGGTGATGCTGATGATGATGATGATGAGGGTGAAGATGACGATGACGATGATGATGATGATGCTGATGATGATGATGATGATGACGATGATGAGGATGATGATGATGATGGTGATGATGGTGCTGCTGATGAGGATGAGGATGCTGATACGCTGATGGTGATCTTTTAAGGATGGGAACGTGGTGATGATACTGGTTAGGGGCGTCTTGGGGCTGCCGTGGCCTCCAGTGAGGCAGCTTTGGGGGTTCCTGGGGGCCATCTTGGGCCGTCTTGGGGCCCTCTTACGCTGGCTTGGGGCTCTCTTGGGCCGTGGTGGGGCCCTCTTGGTGTGGGTTTCTGGAGGCCGTCTTGGGCCGTCGACGAGCCTTCTGGAGCCGTCTTGGGTCCCACGGGAGGTCCTCTTGGGCTGTCTTGGGGCCGTCTTGTATGCCTCTTGGGCCATCGTGGAGTCCTCCTGGGCCGTCTTGAGCTGACGGGTTGGGATTGTCCTAGCTGCAAGAAAAACGACGGCCAGAACGAACCTGGTCACTCACGGACGCCTGGCACATGCAGATTTGCCAGACCATGGAAGCTGCCCGACAACCATGGACAGGAACCTCCGGCTCCCGCCGAACTGGCAGCACCACCACCCGAGGCACCAGCCGCACCACCTTTTGCGCGGCTACGAGCACCAAGACCTGGCTTGGCTCCAGAGCTGGACCTGCAGCCGGCGCCAGCATCCACGATATTACAGTAGGCAGACATGCTGCTGTGCCTGCTGCGGGGCAACCTGCCTCGAGTGGAGCCTGTAGCTCGGATGATCACAGACGACTGTCACAAATCAGAGCCAGACGTGGTCGACAGCCGGGAGGAGATCCACCCCCACCACCACCTCCGGGTAATTCCGCTGCACGTCCACGACTCCCAGACTGGTCATGGTTCGGCGTCCAAATCAGTTGACAGAACCTACGAAGCCTTGACCCGAGCGTGGTAACTCGCGAGTTGCGGAAACTACACTTGCGATGGTTCCATGCCAACGAGCCTGAGATGCGATTCATCTGAAACAACGCCGGTCTGGACCACGTCAGGCTTAACCTGATCAAGGGTGTCTGTGGCGCATGTCGGGTGTGCAGGGCTTGGGACAAGCCAGGTCGCACGGTTAGGCCATCCATTGCGCTACCTGGCAAGTTTACTGAGAAAATCGAATGCGATCTGATGTTCTACAAAGAGGAAAACAATATATTTTACATCATAGATCGTTGCATTCGACATGCCAATGGAATGGAGATACCACGTATAACAATGACCAGTATCCTGGTGCGTACCACCAGTGCTGGATGCAGTTCGGACCTGCCAATGTACTCTACTCCGATGGGGAGGGTGTCCTTAACACCGACGCAGCTAAGGCAGTCCTTAAGGCAACGGGCACTGAACTGAGGATACGCGCGCGTGGACAACGCGCTACGACAATTGAAGCCAGAAGCTGCACATTACGCTATTGATTTCCCGTCATGGATACTGAACTCACAAGGTTGGACATACCTCTTGTGTTCACACGACCTTTGCATGAAGCCTGTTTTGCCGCCGACGCATTCACCTTTTGCAATCAGGTGGCTCCATGTAACGCCTTGTTTAGAGGGCTCAACCGGGAAAAAGCCGGGACAACGGACGGTTTCCTACGATAGGACCGACACCATGTTTAAAGGAACGCCGGGAAAACGGACGGTTTCCTACGATCAACGAGGAATCGGGAGCGGACTTTGAGGCGCATCGCATGGAAGTGTGGTACGCAGAGCTACGGGAAGAAAAGTAACTATTGGAGGCAACTCCATTGGATGGCCTTTGCACTGTACCCACGCAGATGATCACTGACAACAGTGTGCTGGTCACGGTAGTTGAAGAACAGCGGGGGCACCTGCCCGCGCGGGGCTATCCACGAGACTCCGACGTCACGGAGACATGCCATGTCCCACTGTGCTCCGCGGACGAAAACTAGATGAATGGTCAATCTATAGTACTCGGCTTCACTGCGTGTCTAGGATATTCGATTTCGACCGCGTGGCCACCATGCGAGTATATGCGACGCTGCCGCAGAACGAGCTGCGGTCGTCAAAGAGGACGACCTCCTCACGAAAGCCGATATCCAGGCGAATCCAGTCAAGGCATCAAAGGCCCGATACATTGAACTCAAGACATGTTTCGACAACGCGCGTTTGAAGACGCAACATATAATTCAGGCGTCAAGCATCATGACTTCGAGGCGCGTACATACATGGAAGGTTGTAAAGAACGAAAGGGGCGATATGGAACGGACCACCAGACTGCGCCTGGCACCTCGGGGTTGCATGGACCTCGGGGCCTTCGATTTGGAAACATGTGCAGAGGCGGCGCGGCAGTCATGTCAGAGACTTCTCGCAAGCACGGCAGCGTGCAAGAAGCAATGGATCATCGCTTCCCTTGACATCAACATAACTTTCCTGCAGGGATTGACCTACCAGGAACTTGCTGAGGCAACCGGTGACACGGCACGCGTGGTGCGCTCTGCACTGCCGCCGGGATCAGCATCGGCGCTTCGATCCCTCCCAGGATTCGAGCACTACGATGAGTCGAAGCATTGTTTACAGCGCCTCAAGCCAGGTACGGGGACCATGGATGCACCCAGAGTCTCCCCACTGAAGCTCAGCAAGACCACGGGGGGGCTTGGTCTCAGACCCACGTCGCGCGACGAGGACTTCGAGACAAACGGTGGCCTTCTCACGGGAAAACATGTCGATGATATCAATATGGCCAGCGCTGAGGACACCGTCGACAAGTGCGTCAAGTGCGTTGAGTACATGTTCGATACACCGAAGATGGGGACGGTAACGGCACACTGAATCAAGACGAATAAGTCAAACCGCTCCGTCCTGTACAACGTCCTGAACTCGCGGGCGCAGACGCCGACGCCAAAGCGTCACATATGGTTAGTGACATGTTTGTCAGCCTCAGGGGTGCGTTGGTTTACGCATTAATCACATAGGTGCGGTTGATGATATATTTTGTTTCTTTACAACGTGTCCAAGAACCGGCCGACAGACAGGTGCGACGCCTAACTGCGATTACCGGGGGGCTGAAGGCCTGCCCGAAGAAGATCTTCTACCGATCGATGGCCCCGACGAGCGGAGTTGACCTGCACAGTGACTCCGGCTATCGACGCCTGAGCGGAGATGCCAACGACGAGGTCAAAGGCTATGGTATTCGAGAGGCAAACCTGCTACGGCGTGGAAACACGCCAACCTGCACGCCTGTCGTCCACCTGATCGACGCGCACTGCAAGTCTCACCGCTTGCAGGTCCGCTCGAGCTATTCTGCGGAAACACAAGCAGCAGCCGACTTTTTGGAGCTCTGCTATCCCGCGATCGTTACTCTGCACGAACTCAACGCAGGGCCACTGACACCCACTCAGTTGAAGGACATACTGGAGATGGGTGGCCTGGGTATTAAGGTCCCTTTGACCATAGAGGCTGGATCTGCCGTCAAGTCATTGTCAAGCAAAGGCCTGAAGAAGCCGACTAAGTGTACACTTTTAGGAAACATCAGTTGGATGTGAGAGATGATGGAGCGAGGTAGCGCGCGTCGTTCCCAGTGGTGTGACACCCGCGACATGACACTCGCGACGCAAGCCTTGTTTGCCACCAGCGCATTGACATTTTGCAACGAGGTGTCTCCATGTAACGCCCTGTTTGGGCAGCAACCAGCAGTGCTGCCCCACTTGCCTGTTCTGGATCATGAGCAGCAGACAGAGACGTCCGATCACTCTCGAGAACAGGTGATCCGCCGGGTATGCATTGAGGCTATCACACGAGC